CACTGCATGCTTCTTTTCTTTTTTTTTTTTTTCAAGATACACGTCATAACACACCAAGAAAGGGGGAACTTCCAGTGTCTGTGGTAACATCACTTGATAAACAGACTCATTTGAACAGCACGAGCCTGTCTGCCTTTACTATATAAAGCCGCCCAGACGTTGACCAGCAGATATTTACGGAGTGAGGACTATGCGAGCAGCAGCGATCTCCACGCCAAGGTTAAACAAAATGCCAGGGATGTTCTTCTCTGCTAATCCAAAGGAATTGAAAGAAACTGACCATTCACTTCTAGATGACAAAACTCAAAAAAAGAGGCCAAAGACTTTGTAAGTTTATTTTGTGTGTCACTTTGTGGATTTTGACTTAGATTATCTTTAATGGCAGAAGGATTGAGAATGAATAGAAGAAAATATGAGCAGTTAGCTTAACTAGATCAGAGAAATTAGCTGCTGTATATGTATATATGTGTATGTCTAAAAAATAAATCATGATAGGCCATTAAATTATATGGAAATTTTTGCAGACTTTGGCTCATAAAAATTATCTCAATCTTAATACAGCAAAATGTTATAACAACAATTTTTATTATTGCCTTGTTCCTTGAGAAGTTTATTTCATGCTCCTTTTACAAATAATATGTATTCTAATAAGGAAATATGAATATTCATATTTGTGTCTTTTGTAGTGGGATGGATATGAAAGCATACCTGAGATCTATGATCCCACATCCAGAGTCTGGAATGAAATCTTCTAAGTCCAAAGACATGTATGTACATTAATACTGCTGACTTTTCTTTTTAAGAGTAGTCTATGCATTAGCTAGCTCTATATTCTAGCAAGTGATTAATATTGCACATACTAGATTTCATTTCTTTTAAGTAACCAGCCAAATAAGAGTAGACTACTTAGTACAAATGTAAACTAAATGTCAACATGTGTGTACATAATTTGCAATTTATTATACTGCTGGAGTATATGTATTTGGATTTCTTCATACTTTGTTGGTAGATATTTTTCATATCTATAGTAATTTTAAGGGAGGTTTTGTTTTCTTACAGACAAATTTTTTAAAAAAATTATAGAACTAGAATCTTAGTTTGTGGAATTACCAAAATATAGCAGCCATTCTGATTTTATTTGTGATTACACAAAAAAGTTCACTAATTTATGTAAATTTTGTCCCCAGTAGACTCTCTGCTAACGAAGTAATGCAGTGGTCTCAATCTCTGGAAAAACTACTTGCAAACCAAAGTAAGTGTGATTAACTGCTAAATGTTTTGGGTTTAGCTCAATACACTAATACACTGAATGACTTCCATAAAATATCGTCTTCTGGATAGGAGAGTGTGTGAAAAGTTGTATTATAGTTTTCCGGAGTCACTAATAGCTTCAGTATATTATGTCTCATTGTAGTGTAAAGGCCTGGTACTCAGTTCTGCCACTATCCTTCGGACAAATTTGCCAAGACGATTAGGTATTCCCTTGAGTCATTACAGGAGTGAAGTTTAAAATTATGCTGAGGTTCTGAAGTTTCAAGTTTTTTAACATAAACCAAACATCTCAACATGTGAACTGCCATTCTGAAAGCTCCCTATAGAATGTATTTTTGTAACTGTTGGATGTAAGAAGTGGGATTCATTCAATTAACTACTGTATTATCCATACATTCATTAATTTACTCATTTAGCTCACTTTTAAGTGGCAGGCATTTTAGAAGCACCAAGGATTAAAAAACAAGGGCACAGTGCCTTGTTGCCTTGAAGGAAGTTGAGACACACAGTACATAATTGCATTATATATAACATGATATATGATAACACAGATAGGATTAGAACAATTTTTAAACAGTCTTGATGGGGAGTTTCTGATAAGACAAGGTAAAGAATGAAATCAGCTTGCCTTTCCCCAATCATAGGCATCAGAGTTCTCTTGGGATTAAGACCTTGCTCAGAGGTATGGGTGAGCAGAGTGGTCTCCAGAATCCTTGCTTGGGGGTCAAGTTGTTCAATATCCTTCATCCATCTTATTATCTGACTTAGTTTACAATCCAGCCAAATAAATAAATGGCATAGAAATGGCCCATTTAAAAGCCTCAGTAACACGAGCAAATATAATCAGCACATCAGCACATTTTCTGACTAATAAGAATTGGATGGGGAAATTATATTTGGTAATAATGAACATGATGTTAATGACTTTCGTCAATGTTTGCTTTCCTAAAATACTCTACAGTCTGGTTAGGAGTTAGTATTTATAAGAAAAGAGATTATTTTGTAATCACAAGAGCAGAATTTTAACTTAATTAACAGATGGAAGCAAAACACAGTTCTGTAGATCACTAAGTAGCTGTGTGACTGTGGATAGGTTTGTTTGGCCCAGATAAACTATAAATGAAAGAACCTCTGAGGCATTCCCATCTCTATAAATTATGACACAGCTATTTCATCATTAGCCATCTCTTACCTTTGTGCATAGGCAATGCAATAGTATTTTTCTTGTATTCATTTACCGGCTCAATTAATTTAATTAGATCACCACCCGCCCTGTCTTTTTAGTTGGTCAAGATGTCTTTGGAAGTTTCCTGAAGTCTGAGTTCAGTGAGGAGAACATTGAATTCTGGCTGGCTTGTGAAGACTATAAAAAAACGGAGTCTGATCTTTTGCATTGCAAAGCAGAGAAAATATATAAAGCATTTGTGCATTCAGATGCTGCTAAACAAGTGAGTATTATCTTCATTACCACCAGTTTATGTTTAAGGAACTTAGATGCAGAAATAGCATTCCACACACATAGCAAGATTACATCTTTTTTAAGTGTCATAATTTCATTGTTAAGTACTTAGGTATGTTCATATACTTCAGTGCAATAATAATCTAATTTTCTATATTTATGTATATTTGAAGACAGTAGGATGAAAAGACTGATTTTGCAAAATTAGCTAATGTGACAGGGGGTGGGTAGGACTACCAGTATTATTAGCCAGAATTGCATATCAGAATGTCCTTAATGAGATGCTCATCTTACATTAGGATAAAACACAGATTAGTATGTATCACACACACAATTGCAGCAGCAGAAATATTTTCACTTAGTAATGTACCCACCTTCCCATGAAATATTCTTGGTTCAAGCAAAAAATAGCTACACAAAGTGTCCTCTCCTATACATTTTAAATGACCATATCACTTTTTCTGATGCATGTATCACCTTGTATGGATATTTAAATTTTTCACGCCTGCCTCTTTTGCATCTCCCAACTATACTATAAGCTAACTTGGAACAAAGAATTTTGAGAGGATATTTCTTCTTACCTCCTTCACATCCAGTATAGGGCTGGTTTAGAATAGGCATTTAAGAGATACTTGAACTGATATAAACAAGGGCTTAACGCCATTGTCTTGAGGTGCTTCAACAAACATAGTTACATCATAAAATGTGCAATAAATTGGAAGTGCATATTAACTAGTGAGTATTTGTTTTTAGATCAATATTGACTTTCGCACTCGAGAATCTACAGCCAAGAAGATTAAAGCACCAACACCAACGTGTTTTGATGAAGCCCAAAAAATTATATATACTCTTATGGAAAAGGACTCTTACCCCAGATTTCTCAAATCAAATATTTACTTAAATCTGCTGAATGACCTTCAGGCTAATAGTCTAAAGTGATCAGTTCCTAGCTGGAGAGAAATGAAGATGGTTTCGAGGACAGAAGGAATGTGCCACTTATTGGCTCCCTGGGTGAACAACCTGGCCCTTTTGAGTGACTCCACAGGCCCAGGGGAAGAACAAATGATTCAACATGAATTCACATGGAAGTTATCCAGGCTCAGGATCGAAGAAACATGAGCAAGATGAAACCCAAGAGACAGTAAAAGGAAGGAGCCACTGTGGTACTGTCTCCTTCATACAGTGGACATATCAGAAAAATCTCTCAAAACTGAGAAGGCTGGGAAAGTCCAGTTACACAGAAACTGTGAATAAAGATTTTGAAACTGATTAAAACATGCTATAAGCTTCAAGGTCAGCTTATATTTATGCTACATATTATTATATAGAGATTTATTGAGCTGCTAACAAGTCTTTAACTTGGATGACTGTTTGGAAAATATGTGTTCGAAACCACCATTGCTATTTTTCATGCCAAAGGGTTTTTGGCGTTGTTTTATTTTGGCATGTTTCATGCCAAAGGGTTTTGGCGTTGTTTTGTTTTGTTTTTGACTTGAAAGAGATGAAGAAGAAAACAATGTATTAACTTAAGCTGTTGCTCCTAAAACTGGGAAGTCAGAATTTGTAAATTTCACAGTGTCAGTAATAAATGAGTTTTGTATTAAAAATATATAGAAGCCATTTCTGTTTACATTTCTTTGCTGTTTTTAAAAACTGGTATTTATTCCTCAGATTTAACAAAAATTCAAGCAAGTGTCTTTCTACTTTCTATCATCTCTTCAACAACTAAAACTATCATACAATTAATGCTATATTTATGTATTATATGTATCTATTAGACAAAGTTCATTGGTTTTCTCTTTGTTATCACAATGCATAAAAATCAAACAAACATGTTCTCATATGGTCAAGATTCAAATAGATGAGAAATTGAAGAAGTCATATATATATGCAGTAATAATCTATCTATATATATATATATATATATGACTTCTTCAATTTCTCATCTATTTGAATATAGATGAACTGTTTGAATATAGATGAACTATTTGAACTATATATATGTGTGTGTATATATATATATACACACACATATATATATACACACATATATAGTTATTTATTTATTTTGAAAGACAGAAACTGTAAGTGAGGGAGGGCCAGAGAGAGAAGAGAGAGAGCCAGAATCCCAAGCAGGCTTCACACCAGAGCCCTATGGGGGGGCTCAAAGCGGGCCTCAAACCCACAAACCATGAGATCATGACGTGAGGGAAGTCAGCCGCTTAATCAACTGAGCCACCCAGGTGACTGAAGAAGCCTTTTAAAAGGGGATAGAATAGTTATTTCAAGAAGTAACTTCATTAACAGTTGAGATTTTATTGTAATTGAAAGTTTATAAAACTCAATCCTATGAAAGTTGAGACTCAGATTAAACCACTAGTTTTCAAATTTAGCTATCAAAATTACTTAGGATGTTTAAGAAAACAAAACAGAACAAAAAAAAAACACCTTTTTCAGACCTTATGCCAAATTGACTGAATCAGAGTCTCCAAGGGATAGGGTATGAAAATCTATATTTTAGAAAGAAATCCCAGGTGACTCAAAAGATAATTCAGGGTTGGGAACCCTAAGATTAAGTGAAAATCACACTCCCAGGGATTGCACAGAAATTTGACTGCTCTTTCTGCGATGTGACACTGCCCCCCACTGACCAGAACACATTTCCTAAATCACTCAAGTCTGTAAATAGTCTTCCAAAGTGTCAAATATGAAAGTAAGACTACATATAGGGATCACCTACAGAGAGCAGAAAAATAACCAAGATGATGCACATGCTAGCACATAGCTGTATCTTCCCATGTGCTTGTGTTTCATATCTTACTGAATAATCAGCCCCCAAAAACCACAGTGAAATATGATGGATATTCTCAATATAGGCTTACCCAGTCGTCAGGCCCAGAGCTGAAGTATGGGGCAAGACGCAATAATATTTTAAAAGTATTACTCTTGTGTTTCCATGGAATAGAATCTATATTGGCTCCAACTTAAGCTTTGTTCCATGGTTGAGCAGATCACATCGTAAGAGAAGCTTAGGAAGAATTCAGGTTTATAACAACAGTAATAATCAAGTATTTCTCTCCCTTACTCATTCCATCACCAAGTTCTGCCAATCTTCCTTCCACCACCAGTGTGGGGAGCTGGCATATCACCTGCTCTTTCTCTATAACCACTGCCTTAGGCTCTCATTGCTTGCTGATTCACGTGCCTTGTTTTCCCTCTGCCAGCCTCTTCTCTTCAATCCGTCCTCTGAATAGCCACAAACATCCCCTTCTGATTTGACCGAGTCATTTCTCATAACATATAGAATAACTTCAAATTTCTCTTTCTGGAATTGAAAACACTCTCAGTTAGACTTTGGTGGTATAATTCCCATTGCTCCTCTCTGGTTACTTTCTTACCTTCATGTCATACTGGATGGTCTTTTCTTGAATGAGTCCTGGGCTTCACTATCTCCAGGCTTTTGGTTAATTTCTACTATCCATCTAAAATGCCTTTGCCTCCCTCCTCCCAGTTTTCAAAATCCAGACAATTATTCAAGGCCCGGATAGAATAACTCATCCGCAAAGGTTTTCTAAAATCTTCCATCACCATGCAGTTATTTTCACTGTCTAATGGATATGAACTGAGTGAGTCCATATAAACACAAGACACTCTGCTTCTATTTCCAGTACTACTGTCACATTAAATAGTCCAGGCCCTTCAGACTTCGAGGCATGAGAAGTGCAACTGTCCAAGACACACACTGGTCACAAAATAAATGCTTCTGGTCTTTGTCTTGTTAAGATGCCATGTTAAACAGCCATCCAGTTTTTGGCCAGATGGTCAAAACAAACATCTAAGACACCTTCTCATTTTCAAAGAAAACCAAATAAAAATAAACAAAAACTCATCATGACAGCATAGATTCAAGATATTAAAAAATACTTGAAAAGATAATTTTCTTACACTGGCACTTTTATTATGGTGTGACTGTTTTATAATACTATTCATAGTATGTGATTAGCTCTCATGAATCTACTATTTATTTTTATTTTTTTTTATTTTTCTTATTTATTTTTGAGAGAGAGAGAGAGAGTGAGAGCGCATGAGCGGGGGAGGAGTAGAGAGAGAAGGACAGAGGATCCAAAGTGGGCTCTGTGCTGACAGCAGTGAGCCCATGACGGTATAGAACTCATGAACCATGAGATCATGACCTGAGCTGCAGTCGGACATTCAACCAAATGAACCACCCAGGTGCCCCAAACTATTTAAAGAAATCTAATCCAATGGCTCAGTCTGAGTCCCAGCTCACATTTTGTTTTCTATTGTCATATGAAAGCAGTCGCAGTTAACAATATGTATGATTTAAAACTCATGAACTTAACTACTTGGCAATGAGAAAGAATGAAATCATGCCATTTGCAGCAACGTGGATGGAAGTGGAAGGTATTATGCTAAGTGAAATAAGTCAGAGAAAGACAGATATCATATGTTTTCACTCATATGTGGAACTTGAGAAACTTAACAGAAGATCATGGGGGAAGTGAAGGGGAAAAATAGTTACAAACAGAGAGGGAGGCAAACCATAAGAGACTTTTAAGTACAGAGAACAAATTGAGGGTTGATGAGGGGGTGGGGGAGAGGGGAAAATGGGTGATGGGCATTGAGGAGGGCACTTGTTGTGATGAGCACGGGTGTTGTATGTAAGCGATGAACCACAGGAATCTACCCCCGAAACAAAGAGCACACTGTACACACTGTATGTTAGCCAATTTGACAATAAATTATATTAAAAATAAATAAATAATATAAATAAATAAACAAATAAGCAAATAAATAAATAAAATTCATTATTTTAAAAAATAACAACAAGTTCACTTTCTCGGATTTATTTTATATTATTTCTAATATGTGTATCATAGGAAACTAGGGATCTAAGAAGATAACAATGAGGAGGACATATACCCCATGATATCTAACAATTTCTTCGTTTTTCTCTTTTCAAGTCAAAAATATAAGACTTCTAAAAGGTTCCTTAACTCCAAGTTTTCTTTTTTTTTTTTTATAATTTTTTTTTCAACATTTATTTATTTTTGGGACAGAGAGAGACAGAGCATGAATGGGGGAGGGGCAGAGAGAGAGGGAGACACAGAATCGGAAACAGGCTCCAGGCTCTGAGCCATCAGCCCAGAGCCTGACACGGGGCTCGAACTCACGGACCGCGAGATCGTGACCTGGCTGAAGTCGGACGTTTAACCGACTGCGCCACCCAGGCGCCCCCCAAGTTTTCTTAACAAAAGTAGATATTCAAATAACAATAACAATAGACATTAGATTTGTTCACTCAGGAAAAGTATTTGCAATTGCCTTATATTTAATATGCATTTTTACTTGCTATAATGTTAGCTGACTGATTTTTCTCTATTTTTTCCCTCAGGGAAGGGGTAATTTGGGTGAATCTTGAAGAATAAATAGAACCTAAGCAGGGGAGAAGGAAAGTGGGAACACTTCAGTGCAGAGAAGAGTCTGTGAGAAAGTCAGGAAATCAGGGGAAAAAGAAAAAAAAAAACTTCAGTAATGGTGACTTATTTGGTGTGGCTGGAATATATGGGGGAAAAGAAAGAATAAGAGGGAAAACTAACAATGTAGTTTAGGATAGATTCTAAGAAGAGATACAGTCTACTCCAAAGAATGTACATTTCATCTTTTATGTGGTAGGTAAGCACTGAAACTTTAAACAAAAGAGGAAAAGACATACCTACCTGTTTTCGAGTATCTACTGCCATCCAGACACTGTGCCAGATACACATAATTTGCTAAGTCCACACCTAAACTCTTTGAGATAAGCACTCTAAGCCTATTTTTTTTCCTCAACAAATATAGAAACAAAAAAGTGAAAAAATTATCTAAGGATACATAACTACTGAGTAGCAGATCCAAGATTTGAAGACTTTCCATTATCTCATGCTTCTTTCTGAATGTGACATCATTACCTTGTTTTTTAAAAGCTAATTCTAGATTTAGTGTGGAAGACACTTCCAA